TTTTGCTAATTCACCATTTAAAAAGCCAACTGAGGTCACTCTTGAAGTTTATGAAGAGGCGTGTCATTGTTTTCAAAATGTGAGTATTATTTGATACTAAGAAATTTCCTAATTTTATGAAAACTAGAATTTTCATGAAAATATAAGTTCACTTGTCTGTTATATTTTACATGTGTTTTTATTTAATTTTTTTTATAATTGTAATTAGCTTATGCTGCCCGAAAAAATTACCCAGTTGTCGATAAAACATTCTTGCGATTTCATTAAGAATTGTACACTTAATGAAAGCATTCCAAATAAAGCAGATCCAAAGGTTATTAATACTATGGCAATTACCCCCAATTGTGAAGTTAAAGAGTTAGATGAAAAATTCCTTGAATGTTTAAAATGGGAGAACATTGGTGTCGTCCCAGAATTAGAAGTTGAAACTTGATCATTTTTTTTAATTGATTATTCAAAATTATATAGCGATGAATAAAACAAAATTAACATCACCTGATAAAATCGTGTGAAACATCTTTTTTCAAAGACGAATGCATTTATCATAATTGAGCAGATTTCTTGTCGAACACGTCATTCTGGTTATATCGACATCTGGCTATAATTTCTTTTTTTTTTAGAATTTTGAACCTATATACCTAATATGAAAATGCCCCTGGTTAAACCGACATCTGGGTATATAGGACAATTTATTTTTTTTGAGGCGTCTGTCGATACAACTAGGGGTGATGTGTATATAGTACAGCTTCGGAGTAAAAAATCAGCGGTCCCGTGACTAATTCAACAACGGCGCTATCCTAATTTTGTCTAAACATTAATATTTTTGCATTAATAAAATATAGAAATGGTAAGGATACAATTAATGTGTATATATATCCTAATTTTGACTAGTCAAATTTTATATTAAATGTCAAAACCAAGAAGATATTTATGTATGTACATATGTACGTGCGTATGTACTTATAGTATCATATAAATTGTTAAAGGAAATGCAATAAACCGAATTTGGCATTATCTTTAATTAAGGGCATAGCGGGAAGAACTACCCCAGTGGCACCGACAGATTTTCACTGATCGACAATTTTTTAGTCATAAAACGGTACATTAGGGTCAGGTTTATAATTATAACGATGCTTGTCTTATACTAACTAAAATTTTTCACGCGCAGAAGATAGTTACGGAGGTTTTTTTTTGATTTCACGTTACACCTGATCTTGTAATCTAATTGGTTAATAATCACTGTCGGAGTCACTGGCGGGAAGCTCTGGATTTATAATATGATCTAACCAACGATTGGCCAGATTAATACGTATCTCAAAAACTTTATTAACAACCTTTATTTAAACAAATGATATATATTCTTATAGTTATATATAAAATATTTGCAAATATCAAGATAATTTTTTTGATTTAATTTTTACAAAGAGCAATTATATTTTGGAGGGTTTTGGATTTGTTCGGGTTTTACCATCAAGTATATCCCTGGTACGTATTCGGTGATTAAGAATAAGATCAAACAGCGTTATAAACTAATGTTTTCGGCGTGCACCTGAGAGCACTGTTTAAATATTTGCTATATATTCTTTTTGCATGGACTACTCTGTACATTCGTCCAGAAAACGAAAAAAAAAATCTCAAATTAATCATAGAGAATGTTTATAATGCTTATAATACTTCAAAATAATTAATGTTTAATGATTTAATGGAATAACTGAATTTACATATAAAAATATAAATTTATCATTTTTGTTAATTAATACCCAGCAGCCATTCCATTCTTTCTAAAATCGCCCACAGCTATATAAGAGCAAAAAAAATTAAGTTATAAAAAGTAATACATCATAACGAAAATTTGATGCAATATATACCATGAATAGTTCCATCCTTTAGTTTTCTAACAGCATGTACTTGACATGAGTATTCTCTATCTTCTATATTATGTAATAGGATCTGCCAATAAATATAACAAAGAAACAATTAAAATAAAATTAAAAATTTAAGATAGGCCAAATAAAAACGTAAATATTTACAATATGTCCAATGTTCAATAATTTATCGACTAATTCGTAGTTGAATCCTTGTTCCATTAACAACTGTGTATTTTAGATTTACGTAAAAAGTTTTTTAATTGTTCATTAAAAATAAAAAAAATAAAAAATTTAGTTGAATTAAATACGTACTCTATCGGGTAACAACTGGTGATGAATTCTAGGAGAATTGATAGCATCCAACAAGTCCATGTTTAAGTCATATATGTTTACCAATATCTACAATTTAAATAAATTCAAAGAGACATTAATAAGCTAATTTACATAGACTAAGGTACCATAGTTAAGTGATAAGAATACCTGAAGAACGGCAGAAAGAATTTTAGCTCCACCGCTACCACCAGCCACTAATTCAACTTCCCCATCTTCATTTTCAACAATTGTTGGAACTGTTGAAGACAATGGTCTTTTTCCAGGCGCTATTTTTAATAATTAAAATAAATATATAAAATATGGTATAAAAATTATTAACAGAAAGATAAAACATACCAACAAAATTGTAAGGAGAAGGCCAAAGTCCGAAGCTATTTGGCTGTCCTGGAATAGAAAAATCATCCATTTCGTCATTTAACAAAATTCCAGTTACAGGATCCAAAACTTTTGACCCCCAAAATAAGTTCACCTATTAAATAATAGGTAAATCAAATAACGATTCATAAAATTCGAATATAGAATATATTAAGATGATACAAACAGTAGAAGTGAACGAAACGGCCATATCATTAATATCTAAAACCGACACATGAGTAGTTCCATGATCATTCATTTGATCAAATAGAGGGTTATAATTGAGGGGAGGAAACGTTTCACTCTGTTTATATAAACAAATTTAGTACATTGTCGCAAGTAGTTGAATTAACAAAAAGACATATTTTGTGAATATGAACACACATCAGAAACATTAGCTCGAACCAATGCCGCATATTGTTTTGAAATTATTTCTCGTATTCGAGCTTTATGTGCAGCTTGATCACGGAACTTGAAAAAAAATCAATAAATGAATAAAGTAGGTAAAGAAATCAAATATATTATAAATTAAAAACCATTAAAGATTGCAAGTTATTAAAGGTATTACATAATCCGGATCTCCCATTTCAGTGCGCCTTGCAAATCCATCTAATAAATAAGAAAAGTTAGCTAAAAAAAATTAAAAAATCAAAATTATGTGTAACTTACATTTCATTGTTTCTACAATCCTATTTAATAAAATGCGTATTTAATAACATCGTTCACATACAGATTAATTAATCCCGTGATATTGCAATCGAGGGATTAATTTAATAAATATGTCATCATGAATAAAATAAAATATCTTATATCTAATACGCAAGCAAATACCTATGAAGGTTTACTCCATCTAATTTAGACATCCTGTACTCTTCCAACAAATTTAGCATAAATATCAAAGCTGGTCCACTTGTTGGTTCTGGAGTTGTAATGATCTAATATATTTATATACATAGATATATTTTTTCAACCATAAATAACAATAGGGTAGTTTGAAGAACACTGAACTCAGTGATATTTTCGTAATCATCACAACACATGATTAAACACTCGGCCTAAGTTAGGGTTAGTGTTAGAGTTAGGTGATAATATAGTTTAGGCCGATTTGATAGTGCTAGTAAATAAATGACGCCATTGCATGATATTCAGTGTTCTTCAAGTGTCCCTAACAATAGAACATAATTAGCAAAATTCTTTGAGAAAAACATTACCAACCTTTCTTCCATGATGATAGCCAATTATAGGTTCACGTATAATAGATTTATAATTTTTAAAATCTTCATATGTCATAATACCATCTCGTCTATTTATTTCTTCGATCAATGATTTTGCTATGGATCCCTATTTTTTTAAACGAAGAGTGTTGATAAGTATTAACGGGGTTAAACCACAGTTGAAATAAATGAACAAATAATAAAGAAAGAAAAAAAAATACAAGCCTCATAAAATTCAGTATAATTCTTAGAGATAAGTTCCAAAGTTCTTGAAAAGTTACGACGATATACTATTTCACCTTCCTCCAAGATTTTACCCGAGGGGGCGTAGATTGTTGACAAAGCAGGGTCTTTTTCCAATAGATCTTTATATACCTTATTAAATTATCATGCCCAAGAAACGGACAATTAGCATTAATAGTAGTAAATAAACAAACATCTACACATGGTTATATAAACTAATATATAATTATTAAACTTTTACCTTTAATTTCATCCCAAGTTCCGGACCAACAGGAAATCCATCTCTACTCAGTTTTATCGATGGTTCAAACAAACGGTTCCATGATAATTTTCCATACCTGAATTCATGTAAGAATTCACATAAGAATTCATGTAAAATTCGTGATATATATATATATGTATGTATGATAATCAAAGAAATACCGTTCATGCGCAAGTTTCATTCCATGAATTTCTCCACTACACATTAGAAATAAATAAGCTTTATATTTTTATATGAATAAGCACATGATAAAATGTATAACTAAAAGCTTACGGAACACCAACTGAAAGACCGCCAATAGCAGCAGAAATAGGATCCTTAATGAACATCCTTTTATTCGCTACCTGTGGCGCTGTTTCTCGACTATCAATAATTTCTGATGTTCCATTTGGTAAACGAATTACCATTAATCCGCCACTAATATAGTTTGCAAAAAAAAAAGATAAATATTATTTTGTCGTAATAAATATAGATAAATAATAATGAATCGATTGAGACATACCCTCCAATACCAGCAGAAAATGCATTAATGGTTCCAACACAAAGTTCAGCTGCGATTGCTGCATCGACAGCTGATCCACCTTCTTTCAAAACTACATAACAAATAATATAATTATCTAGCAAATGAGTATTTCAAAACTGATACGGAAATATGTAATAAAAGTCCAACCATCTATTCCGATATTAGAACAATCCATTAATTCAGAGGCTACAGCGCCATGTTTTGCTATAATAAGGTGCGAATTTTCAGGAGTCTTTGGGTTCGACCCTATAATAAAAAAGCAACAATATAGTACGTACGTAATCAACATGATAAACATATTAAGTTTAAAGAATAACGTATAATTACATATCGATATAGTTACAAGAGCCAAAACACCGATTACGATTACAATTGCCGCAATAATCTTTGTCAGAAAGCGACGATTTACATTATGTCCAATCGGTTGATATTTAAATGACATTGTCTTAATGTCAATAAATCAATCAAAAATATTTTGAACAGATCGTACTTACAGATACATACGTACCTTTATAATTTTTTTAACACTTAGGCTACAATTCAATAGTGGGATTGATTATGTCGACATTTATTATATTTGTTATGCAAAGTGGCACAAGGCACATCTTTCGGTTGAATTCTAACGGAATTCAACCAAATTAGACAAAAAATAATGATATATAAATATGATATATTTGTCTAGGTCACTACTAAAGTAGTAATTTGGATTGATTTAACAATAAGGTAAAAATAATGCGTGATCTACAAATCAATTTAATATCCTATTCGCTATGTACGACTTTTCATTAATAAGAAGAATGTACGTACAGTACATATTAATTAAATAGTACGTAATGGACGTTACTTTTGTGTAGGGATGTTAAACCGGTTTAGTTTTATTATATAAACTGAACTAGTCTTGGTAATTTAATACGTATATTCGATTTATAGATTTTCAAATCTGGTTAAACGGGTTAACATCCCCTACTTTTGTGGGTGACTGGATATATGTATCGGTATGTGTAGATTTTCAGACACGAACGAAGGTTCGAGCTTGAATATGGAATGTACTTTCACATGAAATTTAATAAAGTTTCGTATTATAACTATCGTAAATAAGTTTTACTATATTCTATAAAAATTATATGTTTAGATCAAAAAAAAAAAAATTAAAATAAAATCAAATTATGTTGGTGGCGTTCCTTAAAATGTAAAATGTGTGGGACCCGGAAAATTATGGATTTATAGTCCAAAATTTAAATCCAAAAAATATTCGAACGGATTTGGCACTTATAATGAGTAAAGTGGCGATTCACAAAGTGTACTAAATTGTGTATTTAACAGGATGTGCGTCGCACGGATGCGGTTGCTGTGAGATTTCCCCAAAAAAACTGGACATATGTAACTTTAGCTATTTAGTATATAGTCAAAATTCGAATCAATGATTATTTTTATTCGTGCTTTCGCTTTTTATCAACTTCATTAATAACCTTATTCTTGCAATAATAAAAATATCATTCAAAAGGAAAAGAGCTTGTAGCAATTGAGTAAACCAAAAAAAATTATTGATATGGAATTCTTAAATTGCTTGATCTTTTGGGAAAAATGGGTCATTAATGCATTTCATTGCATACGAATACTAAAGATATTAGACACTGAATTAATAAAATAATGAATGTATTTTATATAAATACATTTTTTGTTTCTTGAAATAAAGATTTTCTAGAAGCAAGATGCAATTTAATTTAATTTCTTTTATTTTAAATTTTCGTTAAACAAATTTGTAACCTTGGAGTATTATTATTTGGTAAACCAAACAAGTCTTGTATTTGATAACACCCTTTTTCTAAATCGTATCTAAGCTGTTTGTATAATTCTCACTGTGGTATTGGTTTTGAGGTTGAACCAAAAAATGATTCCGATGTTCTTTCATCAAATCACTTCTTTTATGAATTCTTAGTCTGTAATAATCAAATTTGTCAAGAGTAATTGATATTGATTATGGAATCTACTGATGTACATCGGAAAATTTTAAACCCCGATTGTAATAGCGATAGGCTGTAAACAGTTAATAGATTATAACCAAATTATTCTGATCACTGGAAGTTTGTCTGATTGGCTAGTAAATTCGATTTTAATTTTACATTATTTATACAGTTTAGAGTACTTTTTTAAAAAACGAAAACTTAACATAATGGAATAAAAAAAGCTGTATACGTAGAAGGTTTTATTAGAGCTGTAGGACTTAATAGCTAAAAATAAGATCTAATTCTCGTCCGTTTAAAAAAGTTAGTATAGTAATAACTTCTTAAAATCCGATAAACTCAACTTATTACTAAGCTAATTTTTTTAAACGGACGAGAATTAGATCTTATTTTTGATTACAGAGTCCTACAGCTCTATTGAAACCTTCTATACAACTTTTTTTATTTTATTATGATTAGGTTTTTTCGATTTTTTTAAAAAAGTACTCCACTGTATAAATCATGTAAAATTAAATTGAATTTATTAGCCAATCAGACGAACTTCTGCTTATGAGATCACTGGTGATATTTTTAATCGATTTAAATCAAATTGATTTTATCAGATTATTTTTTTCATGTATATCATCGAATTAAAACTAAGTCAACAACTCCCTGCCAATCATGATCATAATTGCCGGATAACACCATTATTGGGGAGATTTGCGAATACGGCAATTTGACAAGCTTTGTGGCAGTGTCTATTTGCCAAATTGCCATTATTCGTAATAACAGATAATGCATACATAATTGACATATGTAAAAATCGATTAAAAACGATTAAATTAAATCGATTATAATCAGTAGTTTTCGTTTATATATCGATTATAATCGATAAAATTCTTCATTGTATTTAATGATAATCGATTAAAATCATCAAATTTTAATCAATTACAATCGGATTTCAATTTTTTCTGATGTATATAATACAAATAGACAATATCGATATTATTGAAACATTGTAATTTTTTTAAAAAAAAGATTAACTTTAGATAATGCAAAAGAAATTACTAAACAATAAGATGTATGCTTATCAGAAAATAAATTGATAGCTCTTCCTATGCTACGTATGAAAATCACAAGTGAATTGCATCATTTAGTAATGTTGAAATCTATTAGAGATTATGTGTCAATATTATGCATATAAAAATTCGCCAAACACTCTAAATTGCTAAGCTGTAATCAATAAACATGACAAATATGCCAAAGGTCATGAATAGTGATGCAGTAGAATCGTCTCAATGATAGTCGTCACATTGCCGTAACTATAGTAAATAATAAGTTGTGGCATTATAACTATTTTACTTGCTATTGCTATAGTAACAGCAAGTTACGGCAATGTGACAACTATCGATTCTACTGCATCACTAAGCTAGGAGGATTGGTTTATGTAGTAAAATTGTTTAACAAAATTGTTTAACGAAATTTTTTGTTAGATCGTCAATCCAAATGTCCCAAAGTGCAATTAATGATTTTTAAAATTCAGATTCGACGTCTAATTGTAATGTTTTCATGCATTTCAAATAAATGAATACGTACAATATTTAGTATCTTCATATGCTGTCTATTATTGCCTCTTAGCTTTGTACATAAATCATTATAAAAACCTCTTTATTAAGTCTTCTTTTTGATATTATATTGAAATTGTAAAATTATAATTTTCATATTATAATCAACAGTCATTAGAAATTTTAGAAAAAGTGAGATAAGTTCTCAATTTACCGTAGACAATTGAAATTAGTTAGTCATAAGAAAATTTTGTCAATTTAAATTCGTTTGACTCGAAATTTAAAGAGTATATATTTGAAAACCTACCGCATCTTTTCTATTAAGTATATCTTAGTGAGAAAATCTTTCTGGAACTCGTTATTCAACATCAAAGTAGTGACAGTATTTTTAATCTGCAAAGAATTTACAAGAAAACTTTCTTGGAATAATATTCCAATTATCATTATACAAATTTTAAATGATTATATCTCAACAATCATTAGATCAATTTTAGTATTTTGATCTTCTTTAGAACTGAAAAGATTCTCTCTACAATTTTTTAATTTCTGAAAATTAGAATTTAGAAATGAAAATATAAGTGTTTGTATTATGACAAATAATTTTTAAATTGATAAAATATTTATACATATCAAAAAACATATTATTTAATACTCCTATCTAAAACAAAAATTCTTCTTTAGAAAATTCTTCTAAAAAAATAATAATTCAAAATAATCTTTTTAGATTAATTTTAAAGGATTTAAATGAATCCTCTATTGGACAAATATATCCTGTAACTGTATCTATGTTAATTGATAATACTTGGTCTAAGTGTTTTAATGAAATTTATCATTTATATAAAAAAATAAAACATGGTAATAGAATAAAAATACTTATTTATTCTTACCATTTAGGATTATTGGTATTAGCTTGTCTATATCATAAAGAAATTCAAGTTCATCTAAAAACTAAAATTATGGATTAGAATTTATCATTTATTTAGTATAGTAGGATATCATAAAATCTATAGAACAATGAGATTAAAATCTAAATATATATATTATTTAAATGAGAAATACTTTAAAAAGTTATTACAATAATTTTTTTAATCAAAATATTTTTATATCTAGTATAGTTAATATTCTTATCTTTTATTCTTTAGACTAATAGCATAACTTGAAGTTTTTAAACTACAAAATTTATAATAAAAAAAATTATTATTAAATATATATTATATATAGTTATTAGATAATCTTTCTTTAAGAACCTAGGATAAATAGTTATCTAGAATTATTTATAGTTTTATTCTTAGTTTTAGTTATAATCTTCTTTATTTAAATTAGTTTAAAATACTATATTTGAGGTATCTATAAGTTAAGAATTTAGTCTGATACTGTCAAGTTTAATAAGTACTGTTTATGATAAAGAATTAGTAATTATGAGAAAAAGAATAATGAATCTAAAGAGAAGTTCTGTATTAAAAAATAGTTTTGACTAAAAAAAGTTAATGAATATTGTTGTAATCAATCTAAAATTTTAAGAACATATTCTTTAAAGAATTCTGTATTTTTTTTATTAAGTTTATCTTAATAAGAAAATGTCACTCTATTTTAAAAATCATGTGATGATCTTTTTTTGTTCTTATAAAAAAATTTTAAAAAAAGGTTAAAGAAAAAAAGAATATTTTAAATTTCTTAAAATTAATATAGAAAATCATTTACTAGACTAATTTTAATGTTTTAACTACCATTAAAATTGTTAGAGTCTGCTTTACAATTTTATTTAAGAGTTTAAAATATAGTTACTTAGTATCAAACCTATTTTTAGAATAGTTTTATAAAGATAATTTTAGAACAAATTATTGTATCATAAAGACAGAAAACTTTAAAAATTTTTATAATGTAAATAAGACTATATAATCTATAAAGTCATATTTTTTTAGATTATATTATAT